ACACAAATATCCATAAAATAAGCATGAGCCTAAGAGGATTTGTAAACATTCTCAACGGCCGATTAGCTAATCATGACCTGTCAAGTTTCCCTTTAAGGTGCTCTATTTTTTCATCCTTTCATAAAATTCAAACAGCCAAGCAACTAATATAAGCAATCTTCCATTTCCATCAATTGTGTTCTAAACCAGAAAGATAGACCAAGACGAGAAAGTACTTTTGGATCAATACATTCAGTTAGCCAAATGCTGACAAGTCCCCAGGAATGAATGTTCATCTTAAATCGAATATATCACAGTATTTCATATGACATTAATCCTGAAAATATGAAATTGAGGCAACTCATTAACTCAAAATTAAAATTAAGCTTTTATGACCTCATCATAGCAGCTGGACCACCATTCTCTATCTCTTCCAAAATAGGTTTCAACGATGGATCTTCTTTAATGTGTGCCATTCGATCTTCAAGCTGATCTTTATGAGCCGGATTTGTCAAACTCTCCATCATGCTAGACATGGTTGGGTCCTTTACAAAAAGAGCAATAATTCACTTGCCAACACTAAGCCATTTCTGAATAATTCACCAGAAACTCAGGGATATTGAACGGAGAGATACCTGCATCAATGTGTTACCAAGCCGCTCAGCCATGTTCATAAATTGAGGATTTTGCATAACGTGTTGCATTGTGGAATAGTATTGCTGTGTATCAAAGTTCGGGACACCATCTTCAACTGCGGCACCTTGAAAGGTTTTCTGAAGCTGTTCTGCCATCTGATTAAATGAAGGATCTTTTGCTATCTGTTCAGCTAATTCCTTGATGCTAGGGTCCTGTATAGGCACGGTGTAAAGAATTTAAGAAAATATACAAAAGAAAATAAATGACCTAAAAGTGTAGCCAAAGTTTAAAAAGGCGAAACTAAGTATTGAGGCGATTTTTCTTTATGAGACGAAGCGTAAACCTCGAGGCGGAAGCCTCACAAAAAACAAAAAATATAAGTAAAAGAATTATAAAATAATACAAAAATACAAAAAAAACCAAAATTGGAGCATATAGTAAATAAACCTAAAGAAAGAAGATGTTTAACACAAAAAAAAAAAATTACAGAAGTTAGAAATCACTCCATTTGCAATGGAAAAAAAGAAATAGCTTAAAAAAAAGCCTAATAGTCTGCAATATCATCACTATTACTAGCATCGTTAATAGAATCATCATCATATCTAATTTCTCCAACATCTCCCTCTTCGCTACTCTCAATTTCTACAAAAGGCGGTAGTGAGGCGCGCGCCTCAGATTTAGAGGGGTGAGTCTCATATTTTTAGCCTAAAAAATATCGTCTCAAGGCATACTAAATGCGCCTCACAGTGAGGCGTGCCTCTTTTTAAACCTTGAGTGTAGCAAAGAGAACCATTTGCTGGTAATGTCACTCTCATGCATACAAGAATATTTTGTCACATTATAAACCCCATACTTTTTGCTTTTTATTTTTCTGCTCCATCTATTTCTCCATTTCTTCAGTGAAATAGTACAAGTTAATGCAAAACAATCATTGGGGAAAAAAATAAATTTGTATCCCATAGCGAAATTGCCTTTCGTCATAATGGGAAGAGCATATCAACATGCAAGTAATTTATCAACTTGAACAGGATATGGGTGATGAGAAAGTACATTGAGTAATCCAGTCATAGCAGAGAAATCAAAGGGATTGGGCATCCCAGAAACTGACGCAGGGGTTGATCTCTCCCCTGATTGTGTTTCCACAGAGGTTGCCCCAGTAGAAGCTTTACTCTCGGTTGCATCGGACTTCTCTTCTGAAACAGCAGCTTGTGTGAACTTTTTTAGGCAATAAAATAACAAATGAAATCTCCAGAAATGATATGCAGTAATGCAGATCACAATGGTTGTTTGAGATGCAGGCTTATACTTAATAAAGAAGATATCAGCACATATTAGTAACAAATGGTAGTAAAGGCGCAAGCTTTGAGGCATTTGATAAAAACCTCACACTCTGCGGGATATGTGGCGTAAGTACATTTTTTAAACAATTATACACTGCAGATGTTCAGTAGCCCATCAGTTTATTCATCAGAAAATGATACACGCACAAAAACACAAACATATACTTCAAATTGAAAAGGGAAAACCTGTTGTCCGTGATGAAGTATTTTTAATCTCCTGGGTAATCCAAAAAAATAAAAAATAAATATTAACACCATTAGTGCATCAGTCGTAAACAATTCATCAATCCGAATCAATTAACCAACCCAAAAAATAAAAAAAAATTAGAATTGAAGTAAAGTCAGCAAGCGAAATTACAATATCGCTATAAAAAACAGACAGTGAAATTGCTGGATTAAAATAATATGAAATTAACAGTAGCGGCATTACAAATACCTCAGACATGGCTGGATAGAGAAATTAAGAGAGGTTCTTTGCTTGAAGTTGGAAAGAAATTGGAGAATTGGGGGTACAAAAAAAGAAAAGGGAAAAGGGTTTTTAATAAAGATAGATTAGCAGTAGATGACAAGGTAAGAATGAAGGTGCGCCACCTCAATGAAGCCTCATCTCCACGTGAATCTGAATTAGGTACAGCTATGGCGAATGGGTACGTGGGTCTGCTGCTCTGGTTTGGACTTTCTTATGTCAAGAATTTGGGCCAACGATCCGAATATTCGCAAATTGGGGAAAAATAGTGCATGCAAGATATTATTTATTTATTATTATTATTTTTTTTTTTCACTTGATTAGGCCGAGTTCGATGACTATGGTGTTAAATATTTGTTAATTTTCATCCATTCCTCTAAATGTTTTTTTTCCCAATTTTATTGGATTGAGAGGTTTTGTGATATTGAATGATGCTTTTACGTGTAGATTACTATTTGCACTAATACAAAATGAGAAAAGCACAAGTAACTTGACTTAATCCGACACCGATGAATCGAGAAAGGTGAGAAGTCCGTTAACACATTTTTATCTCAACCTTTTCATTAGTTAACACATTTTGTATTTGATAACGATTTTAGTTGCGAAAGTCCGTTACAATGACATAAAACAATTTAATTTTTTCATTATATTTTTAAAAAATATATAAATAAAAAATGTGGAAAAATAGTATTCCCTCATTTCAAAGCGTGAAAATAAAATATTTTGATATAAATCACCATTAAAGACAATACTTACTAATTAATGGAAGGTTGAATAAAAGAATTCGACTGAAAAGGATAAAGAAATAATTGCTATAATGAATAAAAATTTAGGAGTTTAACTGCAATTAAAATATGGTGTATGAAATAAAAATTGCGATGCCTTACCAAAGTAACATCTATTAATGCGACACCTAGGGTGCTCAAACAAGCCGACCCGACCCTGGACCAAAGCCATTTGGACAATGACCTGGGGTGGGGCCTCGACATTCATGTAAATCGGAGAACATACTATTTCACGCGGGTTTACTTGCTAACAATTAAAAAGGGATCAGAAGATTGTGTAAGGGACAAACCTCTTAGAACAAAGTCCCAAAAGGGGATGTTTATTGAATATGAAGATTACAGTTTGGACACGAACAAGATGTCTCCAAGGGACGCAAGCACATAAGTACAAAGGAATTGAAGTAATTAATCCGACACCGATGAATCGAGAAAGGCGAGAAGTCCGTTAACACATTCTTATCTCAACCTTTTCATTAGTTAACACATTTTGTATTTGATAACGATTTTAGTTTGGAAAGTCCGTTAAAATGACATAAAACAATTTATTTTTTCATTATATTTTTAAAAAATATATAAATAAAAAATACGAAAAAAATAGTATTCCCTCATTTCAAAGCGTGAAAATAAAATATTTTAATATAAATCACCATTAAAGACAAGACTTATTAATTAATGGAAGATTGAATAAAAGAATTCGAATGAAAATGATAAAGAAATAATTGCTATAATGAATAAAAATTTAGGAGTTTAACTGCAATTAAAATATGGTGTATGAAATAAAAATTGTGGTGCCTTACCAAAGTAACATCTATTTATGCGACACCTAGGGTGCTCAAACAAGCAGGCCTAGCCCCGAACCAAAGCCATTTGGACAATGACCTGGGGTGGGGCCTCGACATTTAGGGCCATTCTCGAGTCAAGGCGAGACAAATGATCATGTAAATCAGAGAACATACATAGCAATGCGTTTGCACTGATCGCTCAAATTCAATTATTTGTAAATGAGATATATAAGTATATAAGAAGGGGGACGTATGGAAAGTTACACAAAATGTTCATCATAAGGCGTATGAACTTCGATAAAGCTAAGTCGCGCTACAAGGGGTCATTCTCCAGTCGATACGAGGAAAGTGATACAAGTAAACTGGAGAACATAGAGATGACAATGAGCCGAGCCGAGCTGACCCTTAAACCCACGAGCTCGTGGCTCGTGAGAAACGAGCCGAGCCCGTTTGCTCGTGGGCGAGCTCGGCTCGGCCACGAGCTCATGAGCCGAGCCGCGAGCCCACGAGTTTTTGATTTTTGATTTTTTTACTTTTTCACCTTTTTTTTTAAAATTTTCTTTAATTTTTCATGAGCCCACGAGCTTGATTGCGCTCGGCTCGGACTCATCATTTGACGAGCCCGAGCAGCTCGTGCTTTCACGAGCCGAGCCGCTCGGCCCGTTTGGCATCTCTAAGGAGAACATGACCATGCCAGTTCATTTGCACACAGACATTCAGCTTTTTGTAATGAGAACAATTCCACGAAGTTTCAATTTCCAATATATATTCGAAAATATATTTGGAAAGGGCCATTATGCAGATGATTAACTTCAACTGAATTTTTCAATAGATCCAAGTTTATCTTAGCCAAATAACACTTATAAAAATCATAAACTATTATCAATTAAGTATCAAGTTGCTTCCATAAGCATATTCAGAGGTAAAAGTACTGAAATTTTATCATTTCATAAGTCTAAACAAGTAACAATAATAATCAAGAACAGTAGACCAAATCGATGGTTCAACAAATCTACTCCAATTTCTCATGGGAATTGGAAGAAATTAAAGGATGAACCTTCTTCGCTTTAGAAGAAACCGCCTTAATTGCTGATTTCATTGAAGCAGTAGCTGAATTAACAGCAGCTTCAATATACTTATTTGAAGCGAAAGTAGCAGCTTTTTCCAAAGAATTTCCCATTCTTCTTGCACCATCAGCAACATTAACCAAACTTTCATATTCCTCATTTGAAACCCTATTCATTTCCTCCTCGAAACGGCGAAATTCTTCCATAGCACTCTCCATGACTGAATCGAGATACCCTTCAGCTTCATTCATGTAAATCTCAGATTCCTCAACTTCTTTTTCCTGTTCAAGCTCCACGGCGGCCCATGCCTTGTAAGCCTCTAGTTCAAAGAGTTTCATCAGATCTTCAATTTTAGATGGATCAAAATTCTTATCCTGAAGTGCCTGATCTGAGAGGAACGAGAATTCGGAGACAAGGGCTTCCATTTTTTTTCCACTTTTTCAGTGAGCGAGTGGGTGAGTGGTGGGCTGGTTAGGTTTGGTGTTTTGTAAAGAAAAAGTGTGCACCGTATGGAAAATCACACAAGGTGATGTTATTTCAACACATTTGTCACAGAATTCTTTGGTGAAATAATAAAGTTCCACTTTAAGAAGGCCAACGGCTAAATATATTTTAAGCATGAGTTTTGTAATTTTAAAAGTTAAATAGATTTAAGTAGTCTTTTAACCATATTAATAATTCCTTTTTTGGTTTAATTTTAAAAAAAAAATTGATAAAAATTTAAGTTCATATCAACAATTAATTTGAATAACGTGTCTCGTGATAACCACACGTCAATTTTTATCAAAATCTACAAAAAAAATAAAAAACGGCTAAGCTTTTGGGTAAAAAATAAGCTTAAACACTTATGTAGCGCGATTATCGAGGAAATCATATGAGCATCAATGCATATTCGGCCCGAAAATATATATGAATCGTGCTGCTTGTACATCTTTGTCGACAACATTTGATTGACAACATCCTACTTGACTGCATTACATTCATTCATTTTAAAAACTGTTTTTTATATCAAAGACTCAGATTTTGATAATACATGATTATCTGTACAACTAGCTTTGTTAAAAAGATATAGTGGGTTGGGATAGTAACTCTGCATGTTCGACTTCGAACATTAATTTCGAACTTCATAATTTTGCCAAAATACTTCAAGATATGCATGATGAGTAGAAGTGGAATATGAGCACATACGCGAGATGGCCATAAAGCGATTTGTTTCTAACTATGGGCCCAACATTTAAGAAAGGGTCCATTAACGTAGATGACCGTTGAAAAGGAGAGGCAAAAAGAAAGCACCTTTGTTATCGACAACTTGTCCACCCACCATTGGACCATTATATGAATTATTGTACATCTTTCCAAAAATATGTTTAGTTATAATTACGATCACGTAGATGTAAAGTGCGTTGAACTGGATATCAATATAAAAATATAGATAGGTAAATTTTGAAAAAAATTACTGACCGTGCCGAGGAAAATGCTAGGCTCAAAAAGGCACGAGTGGGAAAAGATAAACCGAGATGTGTGAGATAAAGAAAAAAGGTGAGCGAATAAGTCATCAAATTATCGGATTGATGGGTGGTTGGAGGACCCAGAAAGGACAACGATTAATGAATAATGATAGTTTGACTTTTTTTTTTTTTTCCAATTCTTTTTCCTTTTGAGAGTGCAAAATCGCATTTCGAGAACATTATTTTTCCTCGTGTATGTGCTTTTGCATAGTCGGCTACTTAATGCGAAATGAAATTTGATGTCCAATATGAAAATTTTGCTTAAAGCTTGTGACCAATGATGATTTGGAAAAAAATGTTACGGCCTTAGTTAACACAATCAATATGGAATTTCTAGATTACTATCACATGAATGGAATCAATTTAATGGAGATATTTATAGTTTGTGTAAGAGTGTCAAAATAGATGGGCATTTCTGGATAGTGAAGACCATGCATTTGATTGGTGTAGCCAAAAAAATTGAAAAATATAAGTCACAATTAACATGTACACATTCACGTGATTCACAATTTTTATTAATTTTTCAAAAATGTTTTTCATCTTAATCAAAATCTACATTCCCAAAAAAATCCCTACCAAACAGGCTCTTTGAAAAAAATTACTGACTGTGCCGAGGAAAATGCTAGGCTCAAAAAGGCACGAGTGGAAAAAGATAAACCGGGATGTGTGAGATAAAGAAAAAAGGTGAGCGAATAAGTCATCAAACTATCGGATTGATGGGTGGTTGGAGGACCCAGAAAGGACAACGATTAATGAGTAATGATAGTTTGACCTTTTTTTTTTTCCAATTCCTTTTTCCTTTTGAGAGTGCAACATCGCATTTCGAGAACATTATTTTTCCTAGTGTATGTGCTTTTGCATAGTCGGCTACTTAATGCGAAATGAAATTTGATGTCCAATATGAAATTTTGCTTAAAGCTTGTGACCAATGATGATTTGGAAAAAAATGTTACGGCCTTAGTTAACACAATCAATATGGCATTTCTAGATTACTATCACATGAATGGAATCAATTTAATGGAGATATTTATAGTTTGTGTAAGTCAAAATAGATGGGCATTTCTGGATAGTGAAGACCATGCATTTAATTGGTGTAGCCAAAAAAATTGAAAAATATAAGTCACAATTAACATGTACACATTCACGTGATTCACAATTTTTATTAATTTTTCAAAAACGTTTTTCATCTTAATCAAAATCTAC